GGAGTGGGACTGGAAGCCTGGCAGAAGCCTGGAGAGGTGAACACAGGCACAGCCCCAGGGCTCAGCCAACACCTGCCTGCAGGCTGGGGCAGCCCTGGGGCGTCAGGCACATGACTACAGCCAGGCATGGAGCCTGACCCTGGCACCAGGATGTTGCAGACATTCATGGATAGAAATTCAGCTACTGCTGTCTCAGTGTCATGGCACCAGCCACGTGCCAAGGCTCAGACTGGCCAGCAAATCCCAAAAGGTGGCAATGCTGAATTCAACAGCATCCCTGCAGCAGTGTCCCCACTCTCCCAGACACTGGAGCCATGGCAGTGCCACAGCAGCTCCCTGGGCTGACACAGCATGCAGCCATTTCCCGTGGGTTTTGGGGAGCTGGCTCACACAGCCTCTGGACACAGCATCCTGTCCCAGCAGGAAGCCCACCTTGGAGCTGCCTGTTCACTGGGGAACCCCTTCCTCTGGCATTTTAGCTCTGATGCTGCCAGAGATCTTTCTGTCCCCCTTGGTCAAAAGTATACACCTGCCTTACTTCAAACCAAAAGGTACTTACCCCTCCTCCCCCAGTCCTTAAGGAAAATTGTATTTCAAGTATCTAACCCCTCTCCACACACACTTTTTGAGAAACAAAACATCAGCGATGGCAAAAGCTGCCATCGGTCCCACACCAGGACAAAACCACAGTCTCACAAGAGCAGGACGTCTTCCCACACCAGCAAGCTCCCTGTGGGAGCTCTGCTGCAGAAAACACAGCAAACCAAAGCTCAAAACCCTCTGTCCCTCCAAACCTGCCCCCCAGCGAGGCTGTAGCCCCTGCAGAACCCGACACAGGCACGGAAAGCAGCAGGTTCCCAGCCCAGCGCGAGGCCAGGCGGGAGGAGCAGGAGCGCCGGCCCCGGCACACGGAATTGTTGTGCCAAGGCGTCCAAAGGAAACGCTCCCAGAGGGAAAATAAATAAAGAACTGGATCAGCAGCAAACACTACTGAGGGCAATAAATAGCACGGGGATTTCACAGGGATTTTTGGTCTAAGATGCCTCGGGAGCCCCTGTGCTGGCAGGGCCCGGGGTGCACGGAAGTGTCACCCAGCACTCCTCCCCAGGCTGGACCTTCCCAGCAGGAATGACCTGCATCCCCAGGGCAGCACAACCTCCCTGCAGTGTGAAGAAGGCAGGGCTGCGAGCTGAGGAGCTATAGGGCTCATGCCAGGGAGCATGAGAAAGCAGCAAAAGCCATAACCACCTGCCCAGGAATGATGGAGCACCCAGAGCAGCAGCACAGCCATGGTTCATGCCTCTGCTGCAACTCCAGGGTGAGATCCTGGGAACTGCCAGCTGCATCCCACAGCACCGTGCTGCCCCATGGACCAGCCAATGCCAGCCATCCAGGCAGCAAGGAGCGAGAAGAAAGGCAAATAAATCCCCCTGTGACCCCTCCCAAGCACGGCAGCAGCAGGAGGCAGCCCCCAGGCAGCACATTCACCTCCTCTTTCCCAGGCAAACCCAGGCCTGCCCTGAACAGCCTCCACTCACATCCCTGCCCTCCACAGAGCTTGGGGAGGTACCACAAAGCGTGCTGGCCCCTCCACTGGTGGCCCAGCCAGTAGCCGTGGGTGGCTGGGGAAGAGGCCTCCACGTGAGCCAGCATTTGCGTGGAAAATGAGCAAGCACCCAACTTCTAGCGAGGGAGCGGGGTGTGCGCTGAAGCGAAGCAAGTCCAGAGTACCTGTGGGCTGGTTTGGGTACCATGCACAGAGCACCTGGGCTGGGAGAACAGCACTGCCCCCTTTTCCCACCTGGATGAGAATCCCTTCTGCTCCCGAAAGAGAAGGGCCAGCGGGACTCGGGAGGGGAGGCTGAGGAATGCAAAGACTTAGTGCACCTTAAAACAAAAGGACATCTAACCTGCCCCTAGACCTCACTCCAAGACAGAAAAGAGCTATGGCATCTCCTACACTCACAACTACTCCAAACACACCCAGATGCATGCAAAACGTGTCCCGCTCCCCCCGGGCTGCAGAAGACCCCTCCCGAGCGGTGGCACCGGCAGCACCGGGCTCTGCCCCGCGGCAGCACCGCCCGGTCCCACCCCACTGCCGCCCCTCCCGCCCGGTGCCAGCGGGCAGGCCAGGGGTGGATCACGGATCTGAAATGCATAGGTACGGACACGGCAGGGACAAGGGACCGCAGCAGCCCCCGCTGCCAGCAGGAACAGCCTCCGCCTCTCCCTCCGGCCGGGTGGGAAGCAGCATCTGCCACGGGCACGGTTCAACCACACTCATGCTCCTCGCGCTGCCCCGCAAGGAAAGATGAGTCCTTTGTGTCAGACAGCCTCTGTGCCAGCTGCAAGTACTCCATTCCGCTTCCTGGGAAATCCTCCAGCTCAGCAAACCCTCTTCTGTGCCCTTGTGCCAGCCAGGCTCTATTTCTGACCGAGGAGGAGCCACGTTTCCAACCACAACAACAAAGGCAGGAGAACCCGAGAGGTCTGCTTTGGCTTGGCAGCCCTGTTCGTCTGCAGCGGGCTGGGGGCACCCAGGCCCTCACCTGCACGCCCTACTTGGGAGGTATCACCACGATGGGCTGCCCTCGCTTGGGTCTCCACATGAGCACCTGGGCGTCGTTGGCGTTGGGCTTCACTAGTGCGTTGGGTGGGATGGGCTCCATCCTGCTGAGGATCCGCGGCTGCTCCTGCTGAGTCCTGCCCACCAGCCGTGCCCTCTGCCCCAGCAGCTGCATGGGGTCCACCTCAATGTCCACTCGCATCCTCCACTTTATAGTCTGCAAGATGATCTTCTCCTTGGTGGTGGTGTTCATGGCCACGAGCCACGTGGTAAAGCTCTGGTCCCTTTTAATCCTGGTCAGCAGCGGCACGTTGCTGTTGCTCACGGGCACGGCCCACGTCACGCTGGGGTAGAAATTGTCGTTCATGCTCACCGAGAACCTGGAGATCTTGTTAGTGGGCCCCACCAGGGTCACGGTTTCTGTGGTGTTTCCATACCAGGGGTAGCTCACCCCATCCGAATCGCTGATGGCTTTCACTCGTCCTTCTCGCAGGTCGGGCAGTTCCCAGCTTGACCTGGTGAAGAAGAAGAGGAAGATGAGCAGGGAAATGGCAGCAACAGTGCCTGGCGAGGGATGGAGAAGCCAGCAGCACGGGGACCCTCTGCCTGCCTGCAGCAAACTCTCAGGGACAGCCCTGAAGAACAAATTCAGCTTCGGCTCCTTGAGCACGTCCAGCTTGAGCTTTTGCTCTGCCAACACAATGCCATTTTAATTAACCTGCAATTAAACTGACTCGGCCAAAACCCTCTGCTGAGTCTCTCTGGGGTCACTCTCTCCTTAATCAGCTCCTGTGCTGGAGAACAGCCTTGCCTGCCCCCAGCTGCAGCACAGTGACCCGGGCACGGGCCCAGCCCATCAGCAGCCCCCTCCTGCAGGAGGTCTGTGATTTTTATACCTTAAATACCAAGACACGTACAACAATTGAACCCCACAATTAAGCCTGCCACTGGCACCATGAAATCCCTGCAATATGGCTGGGGGGAGGGGAATGCAGCCCAAATCTTTGCTGCTGGCCGTGCTACCAACACCATGTGGCTATGGTGAGGCCTGTGCGGCAGTAACACGGGAGCAGCTTTGCAGCAGAGGGGCTGGGGCCACACTTCTGCCATCCCTCCAAGTGATCACCTCCACTCCAACGTCCCCAAGTGCTCCAGTGCCCCGTGCACACCAATCTGTGGCGATACAAGGATGCAGGACAAGGATCTGCTGCTCCAGCAGCAGGAGCCCACCAGTGAGCTGCAGAACACTCCGGACATCTCCCCTCCTGCATCACCCCTTTCCAAAGACACATCTCCCCTCCGGACATCTCCCCTCCTGCATCACCCCTTTCCAAAGACAGAAGACACAGACAGAGAGCCAACAGCGTTGCCCCTCGGCATCCCCAAAGGGATTACAAGCCACCTGCACGCTCAGCCTTGGGAAAGGCTGTTTTCCAGCTGCCACCTCTGCCCAGCACCGCAACCTTTCCCTCTACTAACACAAGCCAAAGGGGCAACACCCCCAGCACTGCCCATGCTCCAGCCCCAGTCCCAAAGCAGAAACGATGCTTGGTGGGAGACAGCGGCCGCAAAGCCCTCGGAAGGGCGAGCTCCGGGCCAGCGGGACGGTGCGGGACCAGCTGTGGGGCCCGAGGAGCAGGAACTGTGGGGTCGGGGAGCGGGGCTGGGATGAAGGTGATGCCCATGTGTGCCTGCGGCTGCAGAGGTGGGGCAGAGGGGCAGCACAGGGTGCTGGGGCTGGGGCTGCACAGGGTGCCGGGGGTGCGGCTCCCGGTGCCGGGCTGCAGCTCCCGGTGCCGGGCTGCAGCTCCCAATGCCGGGCTGCAGCTCCCGGTGCCGGGCTGCAGCTCCCGGTGCCGGGCTGCGGCTCCCTGTGCCGGCATGCGGCTCCCAATGCCGGGGTCAGCTCCCGGTGCCTGCGGGCGGAGCAGGGCAGGTGCCCGCACCGGGGAGCCCCCGCCGTTCGCAGCCCGGCCCGCCCGGCCCCGTGCCCCCGCGCCCGCCCGCGGTGCTCACACGCCGAGGTCGCTGTAGGTGTTGTAGAACTCCATGTGGTTGCAGGCCTGGATCCAGCCCACCACCCAGGTGTGCCGCCGGGCGATGGGCGGCATGAGGACGCGGGCGGAGGCGCGGAAGTAGGGCGTGCGGTACCGCAGCACCACCGGCGAGCTCTCCTCGATGGCCGTGGCCGCCGGCTCGATGGTGGCCGACACGTCCGACACCACGATCTGCTCGCGGCGCACCCGCGCCTTGCAGGCCACGCTCTGCAGGCACCCCATGGCCGCGGCCGAGCCGCCGTCACCGCGGGCCCGGGGGGGCGGCCG